AGAACTGTCATATAGAATGAAAACATTGTATTTTATTTTTTTATTTTTGTTGCTTCATTTCACATGAATGCTAATGCAATGATTTTAAGCTGGTTAATTTACCTGTTGAATATACTGTTCCATAGTCTCTTTTGTTTTGATGATCAATTCTTTAGCTAGATGATAAGCGTTCTTTTTTGAAGACTTTTGTGGCTCAACTATCTCGATAAGAATGATGTCGAACAATTGTGATGAAACGTTATCTGGCTCCGTAATGAGAGGCGACAAAACGTCCAACATGAGAGATTTCACTTTGCCACTGTGCTCATCGCTGAAATAATTAAAAATTGAGATTTGATTTATTTTCGGTTAGCTTTTGATTGGTCATAAAATGCATTTTAATGAATAATTAATGTTCGATTGTCCGTACTCACTTTACAATTCTAAAGAAAAGGCTGAATAGGCTGCAGAAAATGTTTTGAGATTCCTCCAATTCGAAGCACATGTTGAATGATTTCACATAAGCCAAATTCTCCAAGAGATAGAAATATCGCTTGAATGCCGGATCTTTGGGATCTTTCAAACCTTCCAGTTGACGAATGAGAAACATGAAAATCAGTTTCACTTGATCGGTTTCTTTGTATGGTGCTTCGGGTGCATATACACGCAACACATCAGCAAAGCAGCATGCAATCAACAACTGAACATCACGTGATGAGTGTGTTAGAAAATAATCGTCAACTAGATGCAATGCCAATGGTATATACGCCTGATATTTGTTCTCATCTTGACTCATTGTTTGTAGAGTAAGTGCCAAACTCTAGAGCAATAAATACAAAAATTCGTCATATTCTCAAAATATTCAATTGGAAATATAATTGAAATGCCAAAAATATATTTGAATTTTATTTACTTTGAGTCGCCGTATGAGCTCATCTGGACCCTCATCTGAAGTCTTCTGACATGTCTCTTCACTACTTTCTACTTCAGAATTAAAGAAAAACATTATATTTTCAATCAATATCCAAATTTCATATCTAATATATTTTACGAAATTTTAGTATAAATTCGATTCAATACATATACAACACATAGATACACAATACACACACAAATATATCCATACTCGCGTGCCAAATATACCCGTGGTTCGAGTAAAAACATTTTTTTTTTCAAAAGGAATATTTTTGCTTATAATAAATGTGAACAATCTCGATATTGTGCGTGAAATTCTGATAAATAGCAAACATTGCGGTATTTTTGATAAGGACCAATAAAAATGAACTCATTGTTCTATATTGATGGATGCTGGGTATTTGTATGGTTTAAAATGGAGGTACTAACAACACCTAAATATTATTATGCAAAATAAAAATAAATATAAAAATCAATCACAATCACTTCAATACAATTAAAAACTGAGAAATTATTTTTTTCTGCTACAAAAAAATTCCGTTTGTTTCGTATTATTTCGATTGTGTGTGTGCTCTTTTTCTTTTTTTCTCAAAACTCAAATCAAATGTAGCGACAAACAAACAAACATTAAATGGTTCTTTTCTCTCTTTCACAACACCACTAGATGGCTTGAACAAAGCTGGCATTTAGACCAATATTTTGTCGCATACAGCAATCGCAGCCGGTAATTTTTATCGCTGTCATCAGTTGACAGCGTTTGCCGCTATTTGGTTCACATTATAACACACTGAACGACCGTCTCCATTTGAGGCACGCGCGCGTCATTCGAGGTGACTGCCATGAAGTGACTGCCGTTGTAAATAAGAAAATTAACAACTTTAGTTCACCAAATTACACGGAAATTTTAATAGATCCCCCGAGTTCGATTTATCAGCCGTTTCCAAAACAAAATAGTGAATAATTTTTTTTAAATAATTTCATTGAACTATACAGTTACAAAATACGACGTATTCAGAAAAAGCAACAGAACTGATTTTGATACGCTTCATTTGTATGAACAAATTTCAACACCAACAAGTGATTACGGATTAAATCTTCCAAATGTACAGAAGATTATAAACAGTGACAATTTACATTTCGATTTGGTTATTAATGAGGAATTTTTCCATGAAAGTTGGCTTATGTTTGGTTATAAATAAATCGAAGCAACGAGCACAAGTTTAGCGATTTCACGAATAAGTAAACAAAACGACAACGATGAGAGAAATAACAATAAAATTAGTGTGTTTATCATATTTTCATATAACCTGTATATGGATGCACTTTTCTACGCCGGTGATCTTGCAATCGCTTAAAAAAGAAGTATAATTGTTGTCAAAATCATTGTGAATGAAATTATTCGAAATCGAGTAACACAGGAACCAATTTTTTTGTGGTTTCTTTTTGTTGCTACGCGATAAGCATATATAATATATATACTATAGTTGACGCTACATTCTGTGTAATGAGCGTATATTTTCCACTTAGTCTGTTGCAACGGAAAACAAGTTTGCATAGAATGCAGCGCCAACTATTTGTGAATTTTATTTTTTATCGTTTTAGGCAATAAATCTATGGTTTTCTTATGGCTTCTTTAATCCGAATCGATTTTAGCTCATTGTTTGACTTTGGAGAATATTAGTGAAGTGGACTACAAAGATACCCCTGCATGCACAAATTCGGTGCGATGTGAATTTGTTATGCACA